AAAATCGCATAACAGCCGAGCATACACCCAGCAGCGCTGCTGATGCCTGAACGGTATGTGGAATGAAGTGGGCGGGCATCGGGAGGCCACTATGGCACGGGGCAAGCACTATGGGCAGTCTATCTGAAGTGTACCTGGCGTATAAGACGACCCCCCACTTGGAGGCATATTTTTCAGGGCCAAAAAATCGTCTTATACGCCGGCAAATATGGTAGGAAATACAGATTTCCAGTTATAAAAATAGTCATGATGATGTAAGGTGCAGCATAGGAAATATAGTCAATAATACTACATTACCTTTACTAGTATATTGTGTCAGATAAGTACTAGATTAATAAGGATGATTACATCATAAGATTTATAAATGTCCAATCACTACGTGTACTGTGTGAAACTAATATAATATTGTCTATAAACTGTAATTTTAAAATAAATTTTAAAGAAGTTTAATAAGGAATGCAGTAGCGCCCTAGCCAGTTTGGCTCAGCAGATGGAGCATTGGACTGCAGACTGAAGGGTCCTGGGTTCGATTCTGGTCAAGGGCACGTGCCTGGGTTGTGGGCTCAATCCTCAGTAGGAGTTTTGCAGGAGGCAGCCCATCAATTATTCTCTCCCACCAGTGATGTTTCTATCTCTCTCTCCCTTTCTTTCTAAAATCAATAAAATATTTTTTAATAAAAGAATATAGCAGCTCTACAGCTTGTCATGAAAAGATCTCCAAGAATAGTATAAAATAAAAACCATTTGTATCTAACAGCCAATTTTTAAAAAAAGAATTACCAGTACTTTGTTAGAACTCTTGTAAACAGTCAAAGGTTTACAGCAATCAAACAAACTCTTCACCAAAAAAAAGCAACCTAAAAACTGCAGCAAAGCTCTTTGGTGATTTTAGCTGCCCTGTCCCACCCATTCCCCAGGTTGGCCACAGTCTTGAAAACTGCATTCCCCAAATGGTCCTTAGTTCTCCAGAAAGCAGAACAGACCTCATTCACATATTACTGTGTATGTCTGTTCTAAACCTGTCTGAGAGATATTTGAAGGCTGGAAAAGCTGTGGACATTGCTTGAAAACATTAAGCTAGCCAACAGCCCACAGCTGCCTGGGACCAAAGATTATTGTTGACACATACAACTGATTGCCTGATTGCCTAGGAGGGAGAATTGGAGAAAGAGCTTCCTTGGGATATTAGAGCACTCAGATTCACCATATATTTGGGGAATTTAGGAAGCCACACACATGCCCAGGGTAAGATGCTTGCTCAAAAACTACCTTTGAAGACCATAAGCTTTCACTTGGGGCTGATCCCTAGGCTCAGTGCAAGCCTGGCGAAGAGCTGAGGGAGAGTTCTAACTGCTAATCTACAAAAACTACAAAAGGTTTCTCTCTTTTTCTGGTTCCGGGTATTCAAGGAAATCTCCATCAAAACACTACCTGAGCACAAGTTAAGAACAGTCTTCAGTGCCACATATACAAGGAATACATTCTCTGTAAAAATAGTTGAATAAACTCATGAAGCAAATGGACTACTGTAGCCTTCAATAATAACAAAAAAAAGTCAAACCCAGGACTATATAAAGAACTGCTACAGCTCAATGACAAAAAGACAACATAGTTTTTAAAAATGGGGTCAAGATGACAGCATACAAAAAGGTGATACTGGCATCCTCCCACAACCACATCAAAATTAAAACTAAAGTAGCCCTGGCCACTGTGCCTCAATTGGTTGAGCATCATTCCATGCATTGATTCCTGTTGGGGCACATTCCTGAATTACAGGCTTGATCCCCAATGGGGGACATACAAAAGGCAGCCAATTGATATTTCTCTTTCTCTAAAATCAATAAAACCATATTTTTAAAAAATTAAAACCAAACTATAGAACAACCATTATTCAGAACTCCCTGAACTCTAGCTCAACAGAAGTCCTACAAATAAGGATATAAATGAAGCCATATTCAGACAGGTAGGAAGGATGAAGACCGGAACCAGCTGGCCCGCATAAGGTGTGGACCCATATGTGGGGGTTAAAAATCGGGAAGGACATTTCCACTGTAGAAGAGCAAGGAGTTCCAGACCCACACCAGGTTCCCCAGCCCAAGGTCACAGTGCCAGGAAGAGAAGTCTCCATAACTCCTGACTGTGAAAATCAGTGGAGATTGTAAGACAAAGGGCTGATGGAATCCTAGGAGTCTCACTTAAAGGTGCCAGGGACATTCTTGGAAGAACTGAATTATCTGGTTTTAGGGAAAGGATTGAAGGGGCAGTTTTCTCCCATACAGAAGTGCTGGCAGAGGCCACTGTCCCTTTGCTGAGTCTCCATCAATGTCCTCTCCCCAGTCCCCACCTCCCGGTGATTGGCTGAGGTCCTAACCCACCCAACTTGCAGCCCACCCAAGCCACTTCCAGTGGCTTTTCAATACAAATGGCCTATCTTGCATCACGCTGTAACCTTTCCTAAAATCTCTCAAAGGTTCACAAACCCTAAAAAACACATCTGGCATTAGCACGCCCATTGCTAACTGGCCCCAGGCCCAGCACTAATGGAAGTGCTATGCATCAAATTCGACTGGCTGATCCTGAGTTATATCCTCTTTTACAAAAAAACCTGGTAATCTAGTGAGTAAAGGGGTTTCTCAAGTTCTATGAGCCAATCGAGCGAACTACTCAGACACAAGGCAGGTGGGGTCATTAGAACCTATAATCTATAGCCAGGTGGTCCGAGGCACAGATGATAACCTGGATTTATCACTGGCCTGTGATTGGGGTGGGGGGTAAGGGGAGGAAATCTTATAGAACTGAGAGCCTTTAACCTCTGGGATCTGACACTGTCTCATCAACATTGAGTTGAATTGTAAGACACCCAGCTGGGTCTGGAGAATTCCTTGGATATGTGTGAAAAACCTCCCCCCCAATCCCCTCCCACCCACACACACACATTGGAATCGGTGACCAGAACTGCTATGGTAACATATATATTTCAAGCCATCTAAAATTAGAATTTTTATTTTAAAATGTTGAAGACCATTAAAAATTAAGATTTCTAGTACTTAAGATTTGGAGAAGTAGTAATGCAACTTATTTTTTAAAAACCACATAGATATAAATTCAGGAAACAATATTCTGGTGTCTACCTCTTATCAGCATATAAATTTTCAATTAAGATACCAGGGTAGAAAAATACTTCGACCTTGGTCTATATATATTATTTACCTTTTGTTGATATAGTGAATCAAAGTATAAATAACATCTCGAAGAACAAAGGCCCAAGCTCCTCCTAAGCCAGTTTTTATATCTTTCAGTAATAAACTAACAAACAGGTGATATATTTTAAGAATTCTGTGCTTTTTATAAACATTATTTGTCTCTGTGGCTTGTTCACATATGGCTAAAAGAATTTTCTGATAGGAATCCTAGAAAATAAAGATACATTTTAGTAAAAACTTATCAAATCAGAATACTATGGTATAATATACTGTGGTATAATAAGTACATTTTGTACACAAAATTACAGAATTTAGTTTTGGATCTGATATCAAATGCTAAATATTACATTAAGAAAATTACTATCTTAAACATAAACAACTGTTGTCAATTTATTTAATTTTCATACACTATAATCAAATAGCATATTTGCCCAGCTGGTGTGGCTCAGTGGTTGAGCATCAACCAGAAGGTCAGTTCAATTCCCAGTCCAGCACAGCCCAGGATGCAGGCTTGATGCCCAGTAGGGGGCATGCAGAAGGCAGCTGATCAATGATTCTCTCTCATTTTTAATGTTCCTATCCCTTCCTCTTTCTGAAATCAATAAAAGTATATTTTTAAAAAATTATAGCATATTTTTTTTAAAAAATTCTGAGCCAATATATGATTAAAATGTAACAAAAATATTCAGTCCTCATATGTGACACATTTCAATTAATACTGACAAGCAAAATACCGAGATATAAACTTGTAAATAAGTGTTTTTCTTCTTAATTTATTCAGTTCAATTTTCCATTTGTTTACTTTTTTCTCCTTACAATGTACATATATAGATTTTCTGGCTGAAAACGAAGGAATTCTCGTCTCAGTTGCTATACTGCTAATGTATACTTACAGGGCTTTTGGAAAGAATTTCTAAAATGCTTTTAAACTTGGTTTTATGGCAACTGCTGATATAGGCAAATGTTGCTTTAATCACATGTGATGGAAAATGAGGTGGATTAGGAGCAGGATCCAAATCCCTAAGAGTTATAGGAAAAGAGTCATCATTTTCAGGACAAAATAATCAAAGAAAAATAGACTTAGTTGACAGACCAGTGAAATTTCAGAATAAAAATTTAGATTATAATAACCTCAAATTAAAAAATTATTTCTCTACTGAAAACTACTTTTAATAAAATGACCTATCACAGTCTATATTCATCAACCAGAGTATTTACATACCTTTACCTTCTAGGATTTAATCAGTTTTTAAAAGATTTGCTTAAAAAATCTTTTATGAAGTTAATGGTGATCCAACAAAGGAGGTTAAATGTCACCCATTTTACTTCAGATCTGAATTAAAGCTCTATGCTAGTACTGTAAATATTTAAGACACAGCAATCAAACACTATCTGTATCACATGAAATTATATATATATAAAAGTACTCTGGTAGATGGTATTATTATTTCATATGCCTAGCACTATAGGGCATACCAAAAAAATAAAGGATGCTTTCCAGCCATTTACAAAATCAAGCTGGGAAGATAACTAACATTCATGAACAACCAAGTGGGTTTACATATCCAAATTAAATTGTAGTACAGTAATATTCTGATAGCTAAGAAGGGTGATAAAGAAAAGGTGATCTAAAAACGCAAGTCATAGATAAGGAGAGGAGAATATAAAATAAAGTGTCTTAAGGAAGAAAATTTGAAGAGACAACCAATGGCACAATGCTCAACTACTACAGAAACATTGAAGAAAAAAGCTCATTGAATTTGCAAACAAACAGGTCAGTTAGAAAGAACAGTTATTGCAGCAAAGCTACAGTAGAAGCAGATAGGTAATTACTTCAATTCAAAGGAAGTCATTTTTAAAGAAATAATTTAAAAGCGAAGTATGTGCCTAAAAACTGAAATAGACAATTAAAGGTGTCAACCAATACATTTGCCAATAAACTTCTGAAGTTGCAGCTAATTCTCTAAGCCTAAAATACCCATACCCTGATAAATATATGATGGAAAAAAATAAATTTAATTTAAAAATAAAGTAAAATAAAATACCCATACCCTGAAAAGTCACAGAGGTCAGTGCTTTGGTTGGCACCAGCAGTCCCAGGTTCATGTAACGTCATCAGTAACTCTACCACAATCTCTGGTAAATTAGTAATGAATAAATGGTCAATCTGCAAGGAAATGAAATTAATTAAGTTTTTATGTCTGTGACCTTTAAGACAGTTCAAGGGGCTCATGTTATTGCCTCATTTCCAATATTATCCAGTGACCATAGAAGGATATAGATGACCAAAGGTCTATTTGCGAGACATACACCTAATTCCATTTTTTTCTGCTATGCAGCAACTTATAAACTGAGAGGAAAGTAAAGAAACCACACCAAACAAGACTCCCTTAATATGACCCTTTAATTTTAAAGAATCATTTTAGCCCAGCTGGCATGGCTCAGTGGTTGAGAGTAGACCTTTGAACCAGGAGGTCACGGTTGGACTCCTGGTCAGGGCATATGCACAGGTTGCAGGTTCAGTCCTCAGTGTGGGGTGTGCATTGATGATTGATTGATGATTCTCTCTCTTCATTGATATTTCTATCTCTCTCTCCCTCTCCCTTTATCTCTCAAATAAATAAAAATAGGTATTTTAAAAAAAATAGTCATTTAAATGATGAAGCCTTCAGGTCTACATTAAATTGCTCAATCTAATCATTTCCTTGACAACTAAATTCCCCACTAATATGTACTGCTCCTCAATCTGCATTTTACTCTTACTTGGGACTGCTATTTCACTTAGAAAACTTTACTAGTAAAAAGTCTCAGTGACTAGCAAAAATCATCTCTTTGTTCCCTGCATGACTTCTCCCTTGGTTGATATCCCAAATTCTGAAGCTAGTTGCTACCTACACTTCATCATCAACAATAGACTAAAACCCAACAGGAGCAAACTCTTTGTCATTCACTTCCTACTATAGGTAGGCTTACAAAGAACATAAATTCTCTACATCCTGGGTCTGCTACCTTATACCTCAGCCAAATGTATGAAAACTGTGAAAGTCTTGAAGATGAATTTATTAGCTCTCCAAATAAAGAATTGTAGTGCTTTGAACTACAGGGCAAATGGCTGATTTATGTGATACAGAAGGAGGTTTGAAAATATTTCCTAATATAACAGAAATATTTTTTAATGTGACAAGAAACCTAATGTAAAAGTCCTATCCTTTCCCTCTGGATTACATA